GTGATTCTAAAAATTAATACAATATTCATGTCTAAGGAATCAAAATTTTAAAAACTTTTTTGTTTTGAGTGCATGACCTGATGGAGTTGATAAACTAGTACTGCTGCATGCAGCAATGTTGGAGACACTGAACTAACTAGGTTCTTTGGCAATAAAATCCCAGACATCAGACATGGAGTAACAGAATTTGGTGTTTTCCTTCCTGGTTTTGGTCTTGTTTTTGGTTCAATATTTTCTCATGATGTCTCCATTCCTCTTTTTCCCTCTTTTTTTTTGGAATGACAATCTATGTATCATTGCATGTTAGAAGTATGTAATTTGCATTTTGATTTTGCACGGTTTACAATCTAGAAATTGCTTTTTGTCTCAGAAGAAACTTTGAATGTTGGACTTTTGAACCATGTTGAGTTTATTAAAGACAATGGAGATTCTAAAAGTTGGATTAAATCCATTTTACACCATGCTTTGGCCATGAGCCTATGGGGGTCCAGGGGTGGAAAGTGGTGGTTTGTATAACAATTGTCCACCATAGTCTCAAGTATTTTAATACTTGGTTAGTTGGTGGCACTGTTTTACAATGTGGCCTAGCTGCAGAAAGCAGTTAAAGGGGCAGATTTTGAAGGTTTATAGTCTTGCCCAACTTCCAGTTTTGTTTTCTCTCTGCTTCCTCTGTGTATTTGAGTATGTGACTGCTTAGCTTTCTGCTTTGACTGCCTCCTGTCATGTCTCTTCCTCCATGACAGACTTAGCCCTTTGGAACTGTAAGGCTAAACAAACTTTTCCTTCTATAAGTTGCCTTGGTCATTGTGTTTTATCACAGAAACAGAAAAGCAACTAATAGAATTATCAGTGAAAAATTGCCAGCTGACCTCATGGGACTAGTGAATATGCAAAAACATAAACTCATATTCTATTTTCAAAAGTCATCTCACCTACCTAATCCACACTGGAAAGAGGACACATTTCTATAAAAGATATGGTGAACCTCCTGCCACAGCCAGCTCTGTATGCTTTATATCCTTAGGCTAATGAAATCCAGTACTGAATCATGGCTTATAAAAATGGAGGAATATGGAGTTTTTGAAGGAATTCATATTCAACCTGTTTATATTTGGGACCTAGATCATTTATGTTAGAAATGCCAATTTGCTACTCAGGATTAGCAGAAAATATGCTGTTCTACTTGTACTCAGAAATAAGCAGTTTGGAACTGAAATTGTTTTATCACTTGGGATTCAAAATTTTGACTTGAGTAAATGTGTTTAGCAAACCATCAAACCTTAAACTATACAATAAAAACCCTTGAATTTTGTTTTCAATGACATAGTATGTTAAGTGTTCATATACAACAAAAGGTTTATTTAAAAATATTTTATATTGTCTTAGAATTGAAAACTATACCTGAAATTTATTAAAATTATGTTATTAACATCAATTTCACAGCCACTGTCACTATGACTATAGTTGTATTAATAAAAACCAGAGGAAAAATTAGATGAAGTGGGAAAATAAGCAGAAGAAGTACGTATATTTAGAGATGTGGGGTTTCTGGGCATCTGCTTGTAGAAAATTTTTGATATTTAGTTTCTTACAACACAAAGCAAAACCTGTCAACACTGGACCATTTGTTCATAAATTAGATGATATTTGTTAAAAGTAATTCTCTTGAGTATAGGCGTGCATGATAAGTTGTAAATAAAATTAGAGATAAATCAAATGAAGTCTGTATGCTTCTCCAAATCTTAGCCAAATGTAGGTATAAAAGTTAGAATAAAAGCTCCCTTGGATATTGTTTCTTGGGATATTTCCAGTATATTCCATGTTTAGTCAAAATATAGAAAAATTCAATAAAAACCTTTATGATATTTTATGTGAAAGTTGAAAATGTAAAAGTTGCTTTTCCAGTGAATGTCTTTTAATTTGAAAGTTCTGATGTATAGCTAAAGCTTATAACAGAGTTCAGATACTCATAAACTTTTACTTAAATATAAATGAAAATTGATATTACTGCCATGTAATACAGTATTTCTGCAGTATATTTTATGTTTTTTCTGTAGTATTAGTTCTTAAAACTTACTATGAACTTCTGCTTATAATGTCTTTGATATATAAATATTTATACATGCACATTTACATACATAGTCACAAAGACACGCTCAAACATAACCCTCCATTTTGCCTCATATCATAACTATACACAAACTGCATTTATGATAAATTTAGTCCTTTTCAAATTGCATTAGCTCTTTGGTTTGCACTGAAATTGCAAAAAAATGTTTCCTGAGTTCAGTTTTCTCTCTTTCGTGTCACATTTCTATCCTCATATCTGTCTGTCCACATTTCACTTTGTCTGGCTACTCCACTGACTTTTCATGCTTACTTTAAAAGTTATTAATGCAATTTTTCAAATATATTCATTCCTGTTATTTTAAATGGACTGATTAAGAGGATCATTTACTAACTGGTGAGTACAATTTTTATAAATGCTTAAAGTCAAACACTAAATCATGTATGCTTATAGTCATCTGATAAGTAACAAGTCTAAAGTTGCTCAAGATCAAGAGTTTTATTTTATATTTCTCTAAACTATTTTTTAATGTCAGTCTCATCATTCAAATAATTTATCACTGAAGTACATATTACTTTACCACAAAGAAAAATAAACTTCTACAAAAAGAAATACTTATTTATAAGGAAATTATGAGATAGATAAGAGATTGTAAATCAGTGAACTTTGGACCACTTACAGAAGCTCAGAAAATAGATCAAACATTCCATCGTGATGGTAATAGTCGTGATTTTTGAGACAGATTCATATTTTGTAGATGAAGTTAGCCTAGAAATTTCTGTGTAGCTCAGATTGGCTACAAATCCTTGCCGATTATACTTCTTCAACTTTCAAAGCCCTGGATTTAACCAGGATCCACTACCCTTGCTGGGATCAAGCACCCTTACCATCGATCCCATTCTTTATACTGCTAGTCTAATGAAAATCAAAAATATATTAAAGAAATATTTGTTTCAAGAATTTTAATCATAAGAAAGTATTTCAATAAATAATTTATTAGACTATTTTCTAATTACTTTTTAGAAATATTTTATTTATTATTTTTATTTTATGTGTATGCGTGTATTGCTTTCATGTAGGTAAGTGCATCCGTGTTGTACATTGCCCGTGGAAGACAGAAGAGGCTTTTGGATCCCCTGGACCTGGAGTTATGAACAGCTGTTAGCTGCCATGTGGATGCTGGGATTTGATCCTGGGTCTTCTGCAAAAACAGCCAGTGTTCTTAACCACTGAGACATCTCTTTAACAACTATAATATTTTCTTATTATTAAAATACTTTATTATATGTTTTCAGGCAATTGTTGACTTTATATGCCCTCAGTTCTTAAATGGAGCTTCTATTACTGAGCTGGACTGTATTTTGAAGACTTGTTTAGACACATCATGATAGAATATTTAATTCTAACTCACAACTTCCCAGAGACATAGAAGCTTTCTTTTTCTTTCTTCATTTATTATTTTTATTTTATGTGTATGTGTGTATTACTTGCACGTAGGTAAGTGCACCTGTGTCATGCAATGCCCACGGAGGACAGAAGAGGCTGCCGGATCCCCTGCAGTTGGATTTGTAGACAGTTGTTAGCTGCCGTGTGGGTGCTGGGATTCGAACCCGGATTTTCTGCAAGAACAGCTACTCTTCTTAACTGTTGAGCCATCTCTCCAGCCCAGGAGTTTTATTTTTCAAATGTTCTTATGAAAGAAATAAATAATAATCATTACAGTTTGTACTGGCTAAAATTAGCCTACATAGAGACTGTCAGGAAGAATCCAGAGACAGACTGAATCAAATACTGCTTTCAACTGAGACCAAATGTGTGATCTTGAGTAAAGGAACCTCTTGGAGATACTTTCTCATACAGTTTTAAAAAAAAAAAAAAAAAGACTTAAAGGTGATAATAGTATAACTGACCCCAGGATGTCCTTGCAGAAATCAAATGAGATGGTGCGTGAAAACCTCTTGCATGATTTCTGGCACCAGCAACTGTTCAATTATCATCACCATCATTATCATTAATACTAGTTAGTAGTTGCAAATCATTTAACATAGGAAAGTGACTCCATACAGGGAAATAGATCAAACGGTTCTGGTCTTTAAATGTAAATTGTCCTTATTTTTTTTGTTTAATGAATTCTCTTGTTGAAGAAATGACATAGAAAGCCCTAGAGTTTCCATGGGCTAAGTTACCTTATATAATAAGGAGTATGCAGAAATACTTACAATGATGACTTTTTTTCCAAGCAGTTGGCTTTAGTCACATTAAAAAAAAAAATGCTTAATGTCAATCTGCCCAACAGTGTAAATCTCTTTAATGCAATTTAATTCAGATTAAAAAGATAGCTTTGGCTTATGAAGCCAGAGTAAGGGATCTGTTTCAAATCTGTCACGTTAGCACGATCAATAACCCACTATGGCACTGGCCCATGATTGAGTAGTTTTAATTAAGTTCTCTCAGGGTATTGGGTAGGATAGTAATCTTTCATTAATAGTTTAAAGGAATATTACAAATATCTCTATAACTTTTTGTAGTTCAAGCATCCTTCTTTTTTATTGAATTTATTGTTTTCCTTGCCACAGAGCAATACCATTTGGAGAACTCTGGTTCCCAGGAGGTTTATCGCTACCCTACTTCCAGCACTATAAAACAGAGGCCTGCTGTTTTAATCACGCCTCTCTCTCTCTCTCAATGTTGTTTGCGCCCTGGTACAACCCATCTGCCTTGAATCTAGTGCTCCACTGGGGCTGCACACATCTGCCAGCCAGACTACCTTCATACACAATTACTCAATCCACCGTAAGGCTCTTTAATAGGAAACAAGTGTGACAACGGCAAGCCTCTTTTTTTTTTCCTCTCTCTCTCTCTCTCTTTCTTTCTCCTCCTCCCTCTTAAACCACAGAGTCAAATAGCTCTAATAGAGATGAAGCTTGATAGATCAGCCCAGGTGTAGGTGAAATGGTAGAGCCTCAGGGGTAATAGACGCAGTGCTCTCAAGCTGAAGTTTAGCACTTTTGTCCTGACGGGCTCTCTAGCAGCCCAGCGACCGGCAGCTCCTTGTACAGTTACAAAGTCAACATGCTTCTTGCCGCTCATATTTATGCTTAATCCGGAGGGCAACCTGGAGCGAGGTAAGAGCAGCAGATCAGCCCTTGGACTTCAGTGCAAGGACTACGGACAGCAGATGCAGTAAGTGGAAATTTTATCTTTCCTTCTTTTACTTAAGAATTAATTGTTTACGCTCAGGGAATCCTCTGAAGACTTTGCGAAAGGGAACCAGCAAAAAGTCCATGTTCCTTACCCTGTGGGTTTCCTCTGGCTTCGTTTTGCACAGTGTGCCAGCACTGTCATTGGATCTTAAAAACTCCACGAGTGACTCCTGATTCAGAAGGTCTGAAATGTGTTGCTAATAACAATGCTAAATCCATCCTGAAGCCTGGCATCGTAGCTGCTATTTCTGGGTGACATATCTTTTATTACTGTCAAAAATGTTGGTGACAAGTGCATTGTCACAGTTCTCAGAAGACAGAAGAATGTCTTTAAGAAACTCATACCCTTCTTGAAAGTGAATTTCAACTTTCATGTCAGTCTATACTGTTACATCCTTGTTGATACATTGATATGAGGGATTTTCCTGTATTTTTTGCTGAGCATACTCGTCCTTGTGTTTGCCTGTTACCAAAGACATGATCCTGAAAAATTAAAAGCAGTATTGGATTGTAGCAGCAATGACAATGAAAATAAAATTTTAACACAAACAAAACAAAACAAAAGGTCATTTGTCTACTATCTTAGGAAGAGTTATTAAAAACAGATGTAGGAAACCTCAAGTTTGACTTTTCTCTTTCATGCTTAGTTTAAAGCAGCCTTCACATTGCGTTTACTTTGCATTTACAACTTTGGATTCACCATTAAACTATGCTTGAACTTGAAGTTCAGATTTGATCTAAGTGAAGCTGTGTACTTTGAGCCCTCTGCTCTGAATTTTACTTGGTTATAGGGAAACTTTTACTACTACACCATATATCTTGAATTGTGTTAACAAGCTCACTGTGGTGGACTTTCAGGTGGAATGTCCGCCAATGTGAAAGAACGTGCTTCTTGTTCAAATGTATGATGCTCTGTGTAGGAAATAAACAGAACATAGGTCCTGACAAAGATTACGGTTATTCTACTTAATCTAATTTTCAAATATTGTAGAAAAACATGATCTAATTATAAAAGAATGCAATGAAAACTTTCAGTACATCATCATTTCTATTTATAGTCTCGAGCAGACTTTTTAAAAATTTAGACTTCTCATATTTGAAGAATTAGTCTGAAAACTACTGTCATCTCATAAGACAATGTCTGTGTATAGAGTATATAAATAAACTCAGACAAAACATTGTTACATTATTTAACTAATTCCCTATTGAAAAATGTTTTGTTTTCTTACTATTATAAATGGACTTCATTGAAAATGATGATTTAAAAACCATGGTGGTAGAGCCTCGATGTCTCCTTTGTGTATATTCAAAAATGATTTAGCCTGGATAAAGTTGTTGCTATGAGAGGTTTAATTCATTACTCTTAGTTAAATCTATTTCTTTAAGGATTGTATTTGACATTACTGATAGCGGAGTAAATGCAGTTTAAAAGTCATTCTTCATGGAATGCTTTAACCAACAATTGTTGGCACTGAATAGCGGTCAATGTCTACCCCCTACAGGGAGAGATTCTAATTTCACTATGCCTTCTTTAGTATATGAATACTACAGAGTACAGTTCACACATAAGAATGCTGTAACTGTGTCAGTTACTCCAACACGTGCCCCTTAATGAGAAGGTCAGCCCTGTGATTAACAGGATGCCTGTTTCAGAGGCTGGACCTCACTTCAGCACTGCATTTAAATTTGCTTCTTCTTGATTTATTCATTTACCTTTCAAAGAGCAATAAAAATGGAGTGGTCCGTACTCCATGTTTTATACATATTGTGATTGTAATTTTAAAAGAGATAGAAACATATCAATTTATATATTTAGTTCAATTAAGGAAAAATAATGAAGTGAAAAACCCATTAATGAATAATAGAGATCATGTGGATAATGAATGAAATTTTCACTTTTTATCCAAATGGTTAGAATATATAACCCTTGCTTGAGTTTCAGTTAATTTAACAAATCTCTAAGAGGCTTTGTGGATAAATGTGTGACAAGGAAATTTCGATGTTTAAGCTCATGATTAAATGCTAGCTATATTCAGAGGTGACTCAGGAACATAATGGTTTTTCATGCCATGGTAAAATTCATTGAAGAATTTTGCTGAGAGGAGTTGAAGATGATTATAATCTTATTGCTAACTTAAAGAGGTTAGTCATTGAAAAGCTGTAACAGTGGTTCTGTTGTGATTATTCCAAGTAAAATCTGTTCTAAAAGCATAAAGACTATCTACCTTAAAAATTTTAAATGGTTCTTGTTGACTGAAATTGCATTTTGATAATATGTTCAAATTTAAGCCATTTATAAATTTCATGATACTTAAATATAATCTCTAAATTTTATTTATATGTGTATATAAATAAATGTGTAATTAAGTAATACAATCAATATGATTATATGTATGAGAATTTCTATATATCTGGAGAATGTTTTTAGAATTTTACTTTATTCCTGAGAATCAAATATTATATAAAGTTATTTGAAAGATGTTTTTTAAATTTTTTTTAACCTTATGTCTACATAGAATTTAATAATAATATCATGTTTACCTAACACTGAAAGAATCAACTTAATAAGTGTGGGGAAACTATGGGGAGAGTTAAAATTTTAATATAATGGTTGCAAAAGGAGACTTTCATGGTCAGTCAAGGGGAAGGCAGTGTGCTAAATAATAGTCACATGACTTCCTAGTTGCCTCACATATTACTAATGCCCATAGCTTATCTCTCAGATCTCCTTCTTCTCAAAGTATCACTTCCCTCTGAATTGGAACCCTGCTAATTTCAGACAGATTTCAATGAATTATAGCAACTGGGCACCTGCAAGGTAGCAGACACCAGCCTTAGCACTTTGTGTCCATGACTTATTCACTCCTTAGAGCCAAATAAAGCATATTCCTATTCCCATTTATAACTGTGAATAGAATGGTACAGAAATGGTCCAATTCTTGTTCACAGCAACTGAACTGTAGAATATGGGCTCAGATTAGCTTTTCCTGAGCTGAGACATTTCCATCTTCTTTCTACCAAGCCCTCTTCTGTAGAAAATGACTTAACTCCCAGGGCAAAAATGACTATCTTTGGCAACTACATTGAGACTATTTGAATTTTGAAGGGACTTAATGATGAAAGTCATTACTCCAGCAATCATATTTGAATGCCAAGCAGTGAGCATGGTTCTACATTATAACATTATCAATGGGAACATAGAGATCCTGCTACTTTTCAAGTTTTATCATACATAGTGAATAATTTGTAATTATATCCTTCCATTCTTTCTCTGTTGCTCAGTATTCATTCCTGTACTATGGCGTTTAAGAAGTTTATCACCTCAAAGTATTTTGAACAGGTCACAATAGCCTCAATCACAGTCATCAAGACTGAAGGAAATGACCTATAGACCATCACCCTCAAAGATTTTCAGGTATCAGTTATTCAGTAGGACTACCTGGATATTTATATTATTTAATTAAATTAATTAACTTATTTATTTTGGTATTTTTGAGACCTATCTCTGACTCCCAAGTGCTAAAGGCATGTACCATCACACCTGGCTTTTTAAATTTTTTTTTTAATAGAATGAAGTGTTTATTTGGCTTACAGTTCAGAGAGTTAAAGTCCATAATGGCAGGGGGAGGCATGGTGGAAGAAGTGGCTGGGGCAGAAACCCTAGTGATCTCACCTTCACGCAGGCAATGGAAGCAGAGAGCAACTGGAAATCTGGAAAGGCTTAAGAAGTCTCAAAGCTCACCCCCAGTGACTTGCTTCCTCCACAAGGTTGAATTTCTAACATCTCCCCAAAGAGCACCACCTACTGGGGACAAAATGTTCAACTACTTGCAGCCTATGGGGGACAATCTCACTTAAGCCACCACATTCCACTCCCTGACCACCATAGGCACATGATCATATGAGCCATTTAGTTCATTTTCAAAAGTTACCATAACCTTTACAAGTCTCAATACTATTCAGATGTCCAGAGAATCCGAAGTCTCTTCTGGGACTCAAGGCACTCTCTTAACTGTAAGCCCAGTTCAGAGGGCTAGAGTTCATAATGGTGGGAGAGGCGCAGTGGTAGAGGTGCCCAGAGCAGAAAGCTGAGTGATCACATCTTCAAGTAGGCACAGGAATCATAGAGTAACTGGAAATCTCTGGATATTTATATTTTAAATGTTAGAATCCCATGTAGACATTTTATCAATCTGCTGACACACTCTCTTCTTAAAACAGAACAACATAAATTATAGATTGTTTGTGGAAAGTTTGAAAGCAAAATATTCACGATCTCATATTTCATGATATAATTTTAATGTCATGAGTCTGTATATCTTCTCAGATAATCTAGCTAAAGAGAGATTTTGTCTCTTTTGTAGTCCATATTACCATAAATTTTAAATTAAAGACACTCTTTACTTTTATAAACATGAGAAGATATATGCTAGACAGATGGAATGACCATGAGGAGCTTAATTCAAATTTAAACAAACTTTGTCCATTTTCTTCATAAAAGTTAGTAGATGTAAATGTTCCTTTAATACTTATATTTCCTTTGGTTTGAAACAATTATTTGGTGAAGATTTTAAATATGATTGGCATGAATAAAGCCACTCTTCTATATCTTAAAAAGAGCTGAAAAGAAGATATTTAAAAAATAATAATTTCAAAGTCCTGAAGAATGAATGCCTAATAACAGGATCTAAAGTTCAAAATATTTAAACGACTGGCAGTTACCTTAAAATTGTGATCAAAGTCTTCTGTTACCACTGCTAGTCAAAAAGATCAGCAGTCTAACTCCATGAAGTTACACTTTATCCTCACAAATCTATTTTGTTTTTCCCACCATGTTTGTCTGTAGGAATTTCTCTTCCTCTCTTCTCACCTCTTCGCACTTCTCCTCCCCTCCCTTCTCTACTTCTCTTCTCTGTTCTCCTTCTCCTCTCCCCTCTCCTCTTTTGTTTCTTCTCTTTCAATGCTCCTCTAACGTCGAAC